GGAATGTTATCCTCTCTTAATTCAATGCTTCTGTTAAATATCTCCCAGAGATCACAAAGTTCTTTACAAAAATTCATTATCAATAGAGATAAAGCTCTAAAACCTCGTTTCATTTCTTTGCTTTAAATGTCTGAAAAGCTGGGATCAGGGGGGTCTATTCTTACTCAGCTGAAAATGTTCTGTGACAGAGCAGATCAGGATTTAATTTTGGGTCTCAATTGCTTAGGAAGACACATTGTTCCTCAGGTTAAATAATGATTTTACCTAAATTTAGGGCTAACTCTAAAAACATAGTTCCTATTTCCACAATCCTTATGGTTTATAAGCTGAAGTTTATTAATTCTTAATTTCATTTCACAGAAGGGCTGTGTGAACATTTACTGAGTCACTCAATGTTAAATAACTGCTTTTCTGGGCTTCTGCTCAAGCTCAAATCCCAGAAATTTGCTGCTTCCAAACACCCAGATGCCCCTGAGTGGCTGCTGCTCCTGCAGCTTCTTTAACTGAGTTTTCCCACTGGAGATGCAGTTTGGATATTTTATTTATGTTTAAAAAAATCCCAAAGGTGTTTAGGTATTTACAGAGTAAACATGCTTGAAAATAATCAAAACTTCAAACATTTGCCACTTGGGACTGAATTTCCAGGGGAACTGAGGGAATCAGGTGCTTGGAATGAGAGGAAAGTTGGGAAGAAGAGGGAGAGGGAGGTTTTTCTGTGGGTGTTATTGCTACAGAAACCTCCTCCTCTGTGTAATCTGGCTTATTTGAAAACAGAGCTGGGAAGCAGGATGTGTGCTGAACATCAGGATGAAATAAGGGAAAGAAGAGACCTTCTGGCAGGCTGCTGTGTAAAACAGCAATAAATCCTGTCTGAATTCAGTCATTTCTTAATGAAGTATCAAGGATAAAAAAAAAAAGAAAGAAACAGGAGAGATGTACAAAAAACCAAAAGACAACAGGTTGGCCTCATACTCAGCTTGGTTTGATGACTCTGTGGGGAGTTCTGCAGTGAATTTATCTTTTTCTGGGACATTTGATGCACTGTCCTTTTGTTAGGACAGAAAGCTTAAATAGGTGGAGAATTCAGAGTCAGGAGTCGCTTTGCTTTTGAAGTCACAAACAGCAACCACAACACTCAATAGATGCAGGATTCAGCTCCAGCTTCTCTTTCCAGGCACTCTCTTAAATATCCATCTTCTGATGAGCTTTCACTTCAAAGTGCAGCTAATGAAGTGCCTGTCAACACGTGGCAGTTAATGCTGCTGCTCTGCCTGCAGATGAATAAATATGGAAAGGGAAAATGAAAAATTCCTTATTCAGCTTCTCAGCTGGGAGCCACTTTGTATTTGCCCCATTTCCTGATCAGTCTTCACAAGAATTTTCAGAACTGTTACTCAAATATTTGCTGTGCCAGCATTTCTCTCTCTTTTTTTTTTTTTTCTTTTTTTTCAGAAGGAATACTAATAGGGAATTACAGCGGGAAATTTCCAATATTTGTGTTGGAAGGCTGCTTCCAAGGCCTCGTAGATATCTGATCAGGGCAGAGAAACATGATGCTTCACATTTATCTGATCAAAGCAGGCCAGGCCAGGGTGGAAGGTGATCAAGGCAGCATTATTTACACTGCTCTGGGACCTGTCTTTAAAAGCAGATGTGTTTGCTTTAAAAAGTTGAATTTTAAGCAAGTCCTGCCATGCAACTGCAGGAAATTCATGCTCATTTTGCTGATGTGCCAACAGCAAACTGGTTAATTACTGGGTGAAGCAGAACATGGAATCCCAGGATGGTTTGGGTTGGAGGGACCTTAAAGCCCATCCAGTGCCACCCCTGGATGGCAGGGACCCCTCCCACTGTCCCAGTGCCCACCCTGGCCTTGGGCACTGCCAGGGATCCAGGGGCAGCCCCAGCTGCTCTGGGCACCCTGTGCCAGGGCTCAGCACCCTCACAGGAAGGAATTTCCTCTGTACATCCAACCTAAATTTCCCTTCTTTCAGTGTGAAGCCATTCCCCCTTGTCCTGCAGAAGAATTTCCTGAGAAATGTGCAAAAATCCCTGATACTGGAAACAGCTCAATCCCTGAGTAGCTGCCTAACCCTAATTTAACTGGGCACTGCTTTTTGGAGGTTGGCATTTGGTGCCAAGGTGCTTTTGTTGGTTGTGCCACCAATTCCAGTGCAGAGCCAGAGCTCAGAGACAAAACCCCTTTGGGGTGCAGCAGAGTGATCCCAACCTGCCCCCTTGGAGAGGAGAGATCCCAGGGGCTGAGCTCTGCCTTGCTGAGCCACTGCTTCCACTCTGCTCTGAGGGATTCCCTCCCAGCAAACAGATGGGGAATTGATGATATGGATGTGTGAATAGGCAGAGATCCTGAGTAAAATTATTATAGATTGATTATCTCCAAGCTGTTCATAAATATAAATTAAATGTACAATTCCACAGGGAAGTGGTATGTGCTGCAGCCATCTTAGGCAGCAGGGGATAAGGAATATTTATTCTTTCATCATTCTTCCCCCTGTTGCACCACCCCCAAAATGTTGTTACTTCCACAAAAGAGGAGTCAGGAACAAAGCAAAATCTTTTGTGCTGTGGTAGAAATCCATGGTGAATCCCCTTCTTGAATGTGGAATTCCCTGCAACTTAAAAATATGACAGAACTAAAAAGTGTGATGCAATACTGAGTAAATATATTGGATGGCTTCTGTATGAAGGACTAAATAAACTGGGATTTTATTTGCTCAGAAAGGGAGATGACAACAGCACACAGAAAAGCTGCTGTAAAGGGGGACAGGAAATATAATTGTTCACAATAAAAGTGGTAGAGTCCAAGTAAAAGAATGTGGAGACAAACAAGAATAAACAAGTGACAGGACAGGGGGAATGGCGCCAAACTGGCACAGAGGAGGTTTAGATGGGATATTGGGAAGGAATCGTTCCCTAGGAGGGAGGAGAGGTCCTGACAGATTCCCAGAGGAGCTGTGGCTGCCCCATCCCTGGGAGTGTCCAAAGTCTAAATTTCAGCAATTTATAGTGTCCATAGTGTGTTTCAGATAATCTTAACTCTGCTTTTGAGTGCAAATTCCTGAGTATGATTTTTCTGTTATTTACTGGATTCACTTGAGCCTCATCTCCTCAGGACATGCATTGCTGTGTGTGATTTCATTTTCATTCTTATTACACTGTAATCAAAGCTAGGTTCTCGTGATTGGGAACCAGCAACTCAAGAAAGGCTATTTCTTTCGTTTATATAAACTGCTGGGATTTTAACACTTATTTACTTCTTTCATTTGAGATTAATCAAATTCCTGAAGCAGCACAAAGAGAACAGCAAAGCTGAGGATGTTTTTATGCCATGTTTGATTGTAAAATTTTAAGAAATCAACCAACTCCTCACAGATTGAGTCAGATGTTTCTTCCACTTTACTCCCAACCCCAGAACTCCTCGGAAGAAGCAGAGGCCGTGAGCAATGAGAAGGCAGAGGTGGCTCTGGAGGCCGTGGCTCCCGACAGGGACGAGAGCAAGGGCACAGAAAGCACCGAGGTGAAACCGCGAGGGGCAGAGAGCAAAACGCCCAAGGCAAACCTGAGGAAGTTCTTCAAGCTGGTAAGAGCAGCTTTGTCCTTTGGGAGCTCAGAGGGCTGGGGAGAGGCTGGGAAAACACTTTGGCTTTGTCTGGGAGGGTGCAGGGACGCTCAGGGATGGGTGATGCTCAGGGATGGGTGATGCTCAGGGATGCTCAGGGATGCTCAGGGATGAGGGATGCTCAGGGAGGCTCAGGGATGCTCAGGGATGAGGGATGCTCAGGGATGCTCAGGGATGCTCAGGGATGAGGGATGCTCAGGGATGCTCAGGGATGCTCAGGGATGCTCAGGGATCAGGGATGAGGGATGCTCAGGGATGCTCAGGGATGAGGGATGCTCAGGGATGCTCAGGGATGCTCAGGGATCAGGGATGAGGGATGCTCAGGGACGCAGGCTGGGACTTCTCCCCGCATTCCCCGTCCTGCATCTCCCTCTCGCGGCTCCTCCCGGAACATCCCAAGGGCTCCGGTGGCCCTTTCCCCACCAAGGTGACCCTTTCCCTGCCGAGGTGGCCCTTTCCCTGCCGAGGTGGCCCAGGGAGCTCCAGGGGTCGCCACACCGAGGCTGCTCCGCTTCACAAAGCGCAGCTTCCCCCTGTGGGAAGCTCCTGGAGGAACCCACCTCCAACCCCGCCTCCAAGCCCATCTCCTGTTGGCCACGGCGCTGTCAGTCCCCCTGTGCTGTGTCCTGCCCTGCACTGGCTTTGGGGAGCTGTATTTTTAGTGGCACGACTGTTTTTGGCAGTTTTTGTAGGTTAGGTGAACTGGTGAAAGGAAAGGAGCTGTCTCTCCTGCTAAGGTCCATCAGGTGGGAAAGAGGAAAGGCAGAAAGTAGAATCTGCTCCCACTTCCCAGAGGAAAATAGTTCCCAAATCATCTGCAGCCCCTGCTTCCCCACATAATCAAACTAGGCAATAAATAGCGTTTAGAACTGAGAATAATTATGTTGTCACAGCTATTGATGAAAGTGTAGCAGGGTATTGGCTGTCCCCACCCTGCTCCATTTAAAAACATCCCAGCCCACCCTGCTCACTGCAGCAAACTTTGTGGGCAGCCTTGGCCAGCAGCAGGCCCAGGTGACCAGAGGCAAGGATGAGAGGTCAGCAGTGCTCTGCAGAGAAATCCTTGGCATTGTTTCGTCCTCGTCTCACTGGCAGCAAGAGGGAGCTTTGTCTAGACCTCAAGGTCTTTACTCTGGTTTTGGTTAAAAATAATCATAACAATAATCATAATAAAAATACGAGGTGGATTAGAGAGGTTGGCTAAAGCAGGGCTGGTCTTATCTGGGTTTGGGGTGTTTATAGGGGAACAGGTAACACTGATTGCTGTTAGAGCAGGGTTGTTTGTTTTCCCTAGAGGCTTTTGAGGACTTGCTAAAACACAAATGCAGAGCAGATCTTATCACAGCCCATCCTCATGCACTCTGAGGGGTTTGTCCCCAGCACAGAGCACACTGTGCTTCCTCCCCTGCAGCTCCTGCACAGATAAAGCTCCCGAGCACAAACCCGTGCCAGGCCCAGCATGGCACCTTCAGGGACAGCCTTTTCCCACAAAAGCCATGAATTGTCATGGGGTGGTTTCATTTTCCCTGCTGCTGCTGCCATGCATTGATTTCTGTGGTTTTGGAGGCAAGGCAGGTTGCAGTGAGCCCATCTGTGGGACCAGGCTGGTGCTGTGTGCTCCACGCTACAAACACAGAGCTGCAGCAAACCACAATTCCGCCCGAGATAAATTTAGAACAAAAGTCACATCCTTTCATTGTTTTCATTGAACTTCTGCAATGAAAAATGACATTTAAATTTGGGCACTATGAAATCCTGCAGTTTGTTTTATGCTTTGCTGCTGAGCTCTGTGCATTCTGTGGCACCCAGGAGAACACACTGAACTCTCCAACACATTTTTAAACACAAATGCTCATTCCTGTTGTCCCTTTTGTAGCACTAATTGTAACTTAAGCTTAACCTAATTCTCACAAAGCTTGTCCTATTTACTCAGTTTGGTCAAACAGAGGTTTCTCACTTTTTTCTAGATGGAAATGGGTTTTTACCTTAAAAAGATATTTCAGAGTCAACGTTTGCTCTGAGTGACCTTCCAGTGCTGCAGCCTCAGGCTCTGCTCAGATTGTCCTGGCTGGGAAATATAGGAAGCAAGGAGGATTATTATTTAGAGGTTTAAGGACTGCAGGAATAAACTGCAAAGCAAAAATCAGGATTAAACGGATGCTGATGACAAAATATGGAAACATCCCTCCAAAGCTGAGTGGGCTTTAATTATTCACAGCACATGCACTTAGTAGGGTGGATAAAGAGAGGGCAAGTCCCACTAGGTGTTGTAGGACAGATTTTGGTCTGGAAAGAAAAGAAAATCTCTTTCCTAGAAAATTCCAGAAAATCTCTTTCCTAGAAAATTCCAGAAAATCTCTTTCCCAGAAAATTCCAGAAAATCTCTTTCCCAGAAAATTCCAGAAAAGCTCTTTCCCAGGAAATTCCAGGGCTGACAGCAGGTTCTTGTTTTGGGCTGAAATGATCCCTGCTCAGGCCTTGGTGGGAAACCTGACTGGCAAGAGACAATCCCACTGAGCAGAACCAGCAAAAGCCACCCTGGAGATGGGGACATCTCCAAAGTGGAGCTGCTGAGGTGCCTCCAGGCCTTGATTGCTGGGAGTTTCCATCCTGGACGAAGGCTCAAGCAGGACCTTTGTTGTTTTAGTCAGGCAGGGGTGATGGAGGGACCCCCAGTGCAGAAGAGGGACGTGGTCCCAGCCCCAGACACCACGTAAGTGACTTTGTGTTTTTGGCCTGGGCTTCCTCATGCCCTGGTGATGGGTTCTTGTCACCTCCTCCCACCCAGCTCTGCCTCTTGAAGTGCAAAAGTCACTGAAAGGAAAGTGCTGCACTCACTGAGCTTCGTATATTTACACATCTCTGTTTCTTTTATCTGTTCATAATATTAAACAAGATTTTAAAGAGTCAACATAATTTAAAAAAAAAAAAAAGCTTTTTCCGGGTGTGTTCCTTTTCTTAAAATAATCAATGGGTTTGTGTTCAGTCTTCTTCCTCTCTCTTGCTGCTTTTTGACTTTCTGCAAGAACCTTGGCTCTGGCAGTGGAACTAAATACACACAGAATTATTTTTACTTTGTTGATTTACTTGTCTTCTGAGGAAAGAATCATTTAGGTGGAAACTCTACAAAAGAGAACTGAAAATGAGAATGAAAACTGTTCACTGCAATGTAACAAAAGCCATGAACAGATTTGTTTCTTGTTCTGTTTCGTTTCTTTCATTATGTGTTCATAAAATCTAAACCTTTGGGTGTGGTATTTTCATTCTATTCTGCATGGCTTTCAAAAGGCTTCATAAAAACAATATTTTCATTAGAAATACAAATTCTTTTGAGCTTCAAACCCTCATCTGCTGCAAGTGAAGATATTCAGAAGAATTCATCTCTGAGTAATGAGAAGTAAAACAAGGTTCTGTCTGTAGACAGTTTCCTTTAAGAGGAAAACTGAAGTTGCATTCAAACCTGTCATTTCAGAATTTCCTTTTTTAAATGGCTGTAAAATTATATCTCTCTCTTCCTATTTTCACAATGTCTGATGACACCAAGGTTAATTTTCATGAATTATGTCTCTAAAAGCATCCTAAATATAGAAGAGCCTTGTCTTGTGACACTTAATCCTTATTTCATACAAGAGCTTTGTGAAGTGTTCTGAGTAAGACAGCAAAAGTTTCAGCCCTGGATCTATTTTATTATTTTAATGAGCAGCCAGCTTCCTTCCATTTCTGTAAATCAGTTTATTGTTCTTCCCCTCCTTCTCTCCCTTGCCCTGGTGTAAAGTAGAACGGTTTTATTCCTCAGAGGAGCCCAAGGAAAACTGGATCTTGCTGACTTCTTCCTTTTTTGGGGGTTTCTTTGAAAGGATTTCCTTAAATTATGCTGTAGTGTCTCTGGAATGCTGTGATTCTTCTCCCCTTCCCATCCCTGCCACTCTGCACCCTGCAGAAATTTCAGCACTGCTCCAAAACCACAGAAATCCTGGGCTTAAAAATCAGCCTTGGCCCAAGGTCTCCTGTAAGATAACAGGGAAAATGTGTCCATTTTTCATTTTTTATTTCAGTGGCACTGCTAATGTTGAGGGAGGCAAAGCAAAGTTCCAGGAGCAGCTCCCCTTTGGAGTAAGGAGCATTAACATCTTTCATTATTCATTGGCCTCACACCGCATTTCCTCAGCTGCTCCCATCAATATCAAATCTGCCAATTTCCTGCCTTTCAAGGTTAATATGAAACACCTCAAAGAGATTATCTGATAGGGTTTGAGTTGGGTATTTTTTTTGCCTGGAAAATGTATTATGAATATTTTTTAAGAAGTGTTTAGTCTGCCTGACATCAAAGGCCCCACCTGCTCTCAGCCATGGGGTTCTGCTGTGGCTGCAGCGCTGTCTCGGGCACGTGTGGGGAGGAAAACTCTGCTTTTACACCCACAGAGCAAAGCCACAGATTGCACTGAGTGTTTCTGAGGCTTCCAGGCTCCTCTGGCCCCTCGGTGTCTGCGCTCAGCCCAGAGCTGGCCTTGTTGCTGCAGCGAAGGTGAACGTTTGCGATTTCACCAGAAAATCATTTTCTCACTTCCAGTGGGAAGGGTCTGGGGAAGCAGCTGCTCAGAATTAACTGAGCCAGAGACATTTGCAATTTGCTCTGTGTCCATCCTTGTGCTGGGGGAGCCCCTGCACCCCTGGGCACTGCAGTGTCCCTTCCCAGGTGAGGTGACACAGGTGGGGTGTGAGCTCTGCTCTCCTCTCACCCCACTGAACCTGCTTTAAACATTTATAAATCTGCTGATCTTCACCTTCTCCTGCACAAAGAATGGATTTTTTAAGTCTAAGAGCACAGCGATCCAGGTGTGAGGAAATATTTACCACATATATCAATCTCTGGAAAATGAAATCATTCCAAAAGCTCACATTCAGTAGAGGAGTTGTCTCCTAGTCAAGCCTGACTGTATTAAATGAAGACTGGATAGCAAGAAAAGCTGAATTGAGTGGAAAAGGCAAAGCAGCAGGATTGTTGTCCCCTCTCATTCTTGTTTCACCAAAATTAGATGGGCTTGAACGTTTTTTATTTTTAAATGCAAGAGGTGCATTTGCATTCTGTTTCTCTAAAGTTTCTGCTTTCAGGGTTTTCTCTGAAATCATGATATCTCAAAATGTTTTTGTTTTGAATGAAAGCTAAGCCTGGCGTGTGAGCACATAACCCCAGGCCTTCAGAAGAACACCAAATATTTCAAGAGTAATGGTGAAATTCCCAAAGCTGGAAAAATACACAGCATTAAGCTTGGGCCATGGCCTGAGGGCAGATGTGAGATTTCCAGCTTTTCAACATGGCAAATTTGTGCTGTTTTAATGATGGCAATAAATAAAGCCATATGGGTTTGGGGTTCTTTTTTACTTTAGAAAAAAAATCCTATTTGCAAACAGATTTCCTGGCAAAACCACCCTCATTTACTGCTTTCCAAACAGTGACGATTTCATGGTCTGATCCTTTGTTTGCCAGATAGGATTTTTCTTGTGTGAACTTCAAATATATCCTGAACTTCTCTGAGTTCCAGAATCTTCCCCTTTACTCTAGACAGGTGCTTTGTGATTGTGGTGTTTTGGAAGATTTCCTGTCTCTTCTTTTGCACTTGTACGTGAAATTTTCTATGACATTCTGGCTTCCCTGTGTTGGTGATTTTTGAGTGAAGTGTTGTTCATTCACAGGGAATTTCTTTTCATCCCTTGCTTTATGGGGTCCTTTGATTTTTGTCCTCTCCCAGATCTTTTCCTTGCCCTTTTTGTGGGTATTTCAGTGGGCAGTGACTGTCAGTGATGTCCCTGCCTCCCCGAGCAGCCCCAGCAGGCATTTCAGGGAAGTTGTTCCAGGCAGGGATGCTTTGATCCCGCAGTCTTTGCTCATGGAATTCCTTCAGCTCCCTGTGCGCCCTTCCCTGAGCCAACACTGCAGGAGCTCATCCCAACCTCTGGCAATGCAAACCTGCTGGGCAGCAGGACTCCTCCTGCCAGGTGGCATTCCATTTTTTAAATAATTTTATTTTTTCCCTAACATATTTAATAATAATATTATTTAATAATAAATAATAATAATAATAATAATAATAATAATAATAATAATAATAATAATAATAATAATGATAATAATAATAATAATAATAATAATAATAAATATTATATTATTAAATAATAATAATATTATTTAATAATAATAAATTTATAATTAATTTATAAATTAATTATAAATTATTGTATTTATTATAAATATAAATTTATAATAAATTATTATTAAATAATAATATTATTTAATAATAATAAATAATAATAATAAATAATAATAAATAATAATAATAAATAATAATAATAATAATAATAAATAAAGATAATAAATAAACATATTTAATAATAATATTTAAATAATTTTATTTTTTCCCTAACATACTTATGGCTGAACTCTCTCCTTTCCCCACTACAACAACCCCTGTTTGCTGCAGACTTTGAACGCCACAGAGAAGCCTCTCGCCCCATCCCAGAGCGACCCCGGGGGCCCGAGGAGCAAAGAGGGCTCCAAAGACAAGAAGGCCACGCTGGAGCTGGGCAGGCAGA